TCATTGCGCAGTATGGGGCCCCCCTTCTTTGATCGAGCTCCTCCAAGACGGCACCAAGATGGCCCCCAAAGCTCCCAAGAGTGCCCCAAGAGGTCTCCAAGAGGCGCCCAGGAGGCGCCCAGGAGACCCCAAGAGGCCCCAAGAGGTCCCTATGAGACTCCCAAGAGAATCCCAAGAGGCCCCAAGGGGCTCTCCCGTGGCACCCGAGACGCTCCGCGAGGCCCCATGGACCGCCAAGAGGCCCCGAAGACGCCCCAATAGGACCCCAAGAAACTCTCAAGAGACATCCGAAGAGACTCCGAAAGATCTGCTCGCCCTCCTCCTCCTCCTCCTCCTCCTCCTCCTCCTCCTCCTCCTATTCCTACTCCTCCCACTCCTCTTTCTCTTCCGCCTGTTCCAACCTCCTCCCTCCTCCCTCCTCGCTCTCCCCCTCCTCCTCCTCCTCCTCCTCCTCATCATCCTCCTCCTCCTCCTCCTCGTCCTCCTCCTCCTCCTTCTCCTCCTCCTTCTCCTCCTCCTCCTCCTCCTCCTACTCCTTCTCCTCCTCGTCCTCCTCCCCCGATTTATCCTCCATCTTCCCCCTCTGGTGGTACGGCGGTTTCCCCAGCCCTGTATCCCACTGCATGCTCCTCCACGTCCCTGATCAGGGAAACTCGCCCGGGCATCTTTTCTGGATGGGCTGATGGGGTTACACGAAACGTCTAGAATTAATCGCACCCGCTCATTTGTCAAAGGAGCGGTTGAAATCAACAACTTCCCAGGCCACGCGAATCGAAAAAACATGTTCGATGGTGTGGGCTCTCTTGCTGCGAGGGGCGAGGCCAGCAGAGCTCGGACGGCGGCCTCGAGGTCGCCCAAGTCAAGGCCCACCAAGATATGCCGTTTCTCGCGCCACTCGGTGACCAGTGATGGCATGCCACTGGCCATTTTGAAGATGGCCGGGTGGCCAAGATGGCCGGGTGGCCAAGATGGCCGCTGCTGAGCTCTTTCGGCCGCCTGAAGCCGAGCGAGCTGCTCAAGCCGAGCTCAGCAAGCGCGCGAAACGACCCCTTGCTCATGCTCCCGGAGCCCCTGTCGTCTGACCCATAAGTGGCCCCCAGAGTCGGCGGCAAAGACTTAGATGTCCCCACCGCGAGTTCGGCCCCTCCCGCTGAGGCGGCTTCTGTCTCAGAATCGTGGCGGGGCGGAGCCAACTCGGGGGAGGGGTCTGTTTGGGGCCCTGGGGCTGCGGCGGCCCCTGTCCCTCACCCCCGTCCGGCCGCCTCTCCCGCCTTGCGTGCACGAACTGGGCACGAGTGGTGCTGGCAGAAAACCCGTTGACTCTGCCCCCCTTGCCAGTCGAGAGGCATCCGCGGGGAGACCCAAGACTGACAGGGAACGAGGGGGATGCCCTGGCCACCCAGCCGCCCTGGCCAAGCTCGCTCTCCAGCCCAACGGTCCTGTGTCGCACATGTTCGGCAGGCTTGACGACCTAGCCTGCAGCGAATGTGGTAAGCACATAAAGTGCACGCTCAAAGGGTTTCCATCAGAGCTGCCCCAGAGAATGTTGTCCTAGTTTCGCGGTTGGAAGCTGGTCTTTGCTTACTTCGGGGAGACACCCCGAGTCCTCAAGGAAGAGTCCCGTGATATTTGGCGCCTCTACTACCGTTGAGAGAATGGTTGATGGCGATCCCTCAATCGACGTATACGAAGTCGAACCTTTCCGAAGCCGTGCGATGGTCCTTCTCCCCTCGACCTGTTCGCCCTCATCCTCCTCCGCCTCATCCCCATCCTCATCATCATCATCATCAGCAGCAGCATCAGCAGCATCATCATCGTCATCGTCATCGTCATCGTCATCGTCATCATCACCAGCATAATCATCATCAGCATCATCATCAGCATCATCATCAGCATCATCAGCAGCATCAGCAGCATCATCATCGTCATCGTCATCGTCATCGTCATCGTCATCGTCATCATCACCAGCATAATCATCATCAGCATCATCATCAGCATCATCATCAGCATCATCAGCATCATCCGCATCATCATCAGCGTCAGCATCGGCATCAGCATCAGCATCAGCAGCAGCAGCATCGTCATCATCAGCATCATCAGCATCAGCATCATCCTCTAATCGGGGAAGCCACAAGATACCGCTACCGCTACTCTCCGGACCGCTCCCAGGGTGCACTCTGACCAACGTTTCGCGGCGAAGTGGCGACGAGGACCTCCCCAAAGGCCCCCCAAAGCAAAAACGAGGTAAGGGTAGCGGTATCGGTTTCCTCCTCCCCAGACACCCGACGTCATGATCCTTTTGCAACGTGGACCTTCGGAGCTCCGACCACTCCCCCAGGCCCGGCTTGTCATCCTGAGTCGTGGTTCGACGGTCCTAGTGCCATGCGAGGGTAGCGGCATCAGCCCTGCTCTGACGATCTTCGATCGACCCCAGGTGGAGACGAAGAAAACGGGGACCACGACCAAGACTGAACGCAGAAACGTCGTGCCTGTCTTGGTCGCCGTCCACCTTGGTCAGCGTCAATTCGTGGACCATCCCCGCGAATCGGCAAAGGCAGGCACGGACCATGATTTCTTGCGTCAATTCGGTCATACTTAGTGTGTTGCTGCCCTCCTCCTCCTCCCTCCATCCTTCCTTCCTGCCTCCTTCTCCACCCTCCTCCTTTCGTCTTTCTTCCCTCCTCCTTTCTCCTTCCTCTTTGCTTCTCCTCCTCCTCCTCTCTCTCCCTCCTCCCTCCCCTCCCTCCCCTCTCCCCCTCCCCTCCCCCTCCCCTCCCCCTCCCCCTCCCCCTCCCCCCTCCCCCTCCTCCTCCTCCTCCCCTCCTCCTCCTCCTCCCCCTCCCCCCCCTCCTCCTCCTCCTCCTCCTCCTCCTCCTCCTCCTCCTCCTAGGTGGCTCCGCAGCGGGCCGCGCGACGCCGCAGCATTTTGCCCCGCGGCCGCCGCGGCCCGTGCCATTGCAGAGCCCCCAGCGCCGACGGCGCGCTGCCCGAGCGGACCCACGAGGTCACGCTCCCCTGCCTGGCACAGGCGCCACCGCAGGCGCAGGAGCCAGGCCCGTCAGGAGCTCCAGCTGGTGAACGCTCGCCTCCTCCTGAACCTCCACCACGGCAGTATGGCACCGACCCAGTGGACGACGTGCAAACATTGCAAAATGTGGTGGTGGATATCTCAGATGGAGTCGCGAGACTACTGGTGCACCTGCGGATGCCGAGTTGCTAGGCCCAGGGGTGACACGACGAAGGGCGACAGCAACGCGGGCAAGGGCAAGGGCAAAGACAAGGACAAGGACAAGCAGTACCGTTCGGACGGTGCCACGGGCTACGACCAGCAGGGCTTCGCGCAGATCGCCACGGCCTTGCAGACGATGACGAGCTCCCTGGACACCCTCCAGATCGAGAACAAAGACGGCATCGCCAAGCAGCTTACGAGTGTGGCCACGGCACTTCAAGCAGCGGCGAGTTCCCCAGTACAGGTTCCTAAGTCCCGAGCACTTCGGTTGGCAGAAGCAGCAAGGAAACTCGAGGACGCGAACAAAAAGTACAAATGGGCGTTCGATGCAAAGCAGTCAGCGGACGAGAAGGCGAAGAAGGCAACTGAGCTGCTCACGGCCAGAGCGGACGACGTCCTGAATGCGGAGAAGGAAATAGAGATGATCCAGCAGGAGGGCAAGGAGAAGCCGAAGAGCATCTTCGACCAGCTGCTGAACGCGGACACGGAGCTGATCCAGCCATCGGAGATCGAGATCGCCGAGGTCGAGGCTCACTTCCAGTACGACGAGGACATGGACGAAGAGGGAAAGCGGCAAGTGGAATTAGCGAAGAAGCAAGTCCTGGAGCAGCTTCGGCAGACGGCATCAACCTTCAGGGGCCAGCTGAAAGACCACTTGCAGCAGGCGAAAGAGAAAGCACAGCAGGAGCGCGCCACGATCACCCAGGCCTACAAGAAGCGGAAGGCGGGCTCAGATGAAACGGCGAAGGAGGCGCAGGCAGCTCCAGCAGAGGCCCCAGCACCAGCAGCAGCATCCACACCTGCAGGCGAGCCCGACGACATCCCCGTCGACGGAGCAGACGCCTACCTGGAGCAGCGCAGGAGGGCGGAGGCGGCAGCTGGCGGCAGCGGTGGGACAAGCGCTGGCTCAGGCCAGCACTAGGGCCCACCGCGGAGGGGCAGGCGACCCGTTGGCGACGCCGAGCCCCTGGACCGCACGATCTTTTTCGCCAACATATCAACGTGGGGGCCTACGGCCAAGAGTTGGATCCGACGCGACGGGCTTCGACAACCTTATGATGCTTATGCGCTTCAGGAAACACACTTGGCACAGGCACAACTCAATGACGTGGAATACGAGCTGCAGAAATCTGGTTTCTCATCAGTTTTCACGGCAGCCAGGCAGAGCGAGAAGAGCCAGAAGGGGACCCACGGTGGCACAGCTGTCATCACCAAGGGCCACCTGAAGGCTACCTCTTTCCGCCACATGGCACGGGCAGGCACGACCTCGAGTGTGACTACTCACCAATGGCCGTGTGACATAGACATGATCGACTGGACGCCAGTCACGCTCCATTTGAAGGGCACCTCGCTGCTCATCATCTCCCTCTACTTAGACCCGAACGCCTCCCTCGTCGACGGGGTAAACGCCAGGAAGTTGACCTCGCTCGCGGCATTCCTCCACACTACCTCCATGCCGTGGATCATCTGCGGTGACTTCAATTGCGAGTTCGACGCGCTTGAGAAGACATGGTGGCCGACGGCACTGGGCGCAACGGGTGTGGTCCAAGTGCCAGAGGGCCAGAACACGTGCTTCCTAGGCGACGCGACCCCCTCGAACATAGACTACGCCCTGGTCAACCCTGGAGGCCAGAGACTTGTTCGAGGTATACGCGCTGTTCACGATGTTCCTTGGAAACCACACGTGGGGCTGGTTATTACAATAAAGGCAGCAGTGCAAGTGAACGAATGCAGAAGATTATGTATGCCGAAAGTTTTTCCCCACCCCAAGCTGCCGAAGAAGACCAACCCTAACAGCAAAACAGCAAAGAAGAAGAAGAAAGCAGCGCTACCAGTCCTGGACGAATCAGACATCCCCTCCGATGACGTACCCGCCGAGACCGACACGAAGAGATGGGAAGCCCTTGGGCCAGACGGGTGGAAGCGAAACCAGACTGGAGCGATAGAAGACGTTGAGACCAGTGAATCAGTCCCAAGACAAGTCGCACAACTGGACATCGAGGACATAGACCCCTTCGACGACCTGGATGCGAACCTTATCAGCTCGGACAGCGACATGCTCATCCCAGAGGATGTCGAAGGGACTTGGGACACACCAGTGGCCATGGATACTACACATAAGGCGGCGAATGAGACCATGAACGACCCAAATGCAGCCACGACCAACTCGTCGGACCTGTCGAAGGAAACCCAAGGGACTACCTCACAGACGATAGAGCAGCGGATCGCGGACAAAGCAGCAGGGGTGGACACCACAATCATGGACGACACTTGGGAAGTGGCAGCACAACTACAAGCCTTGGAGTCAACTGACACGGCCCCCGAGTACATAAAGCAGAGTGCAGCATACAAGACCGACCCGAACGGAGCCGAACGACTAGGACGGCAATATCAACAGTTCATCGGCACTCTGGAGAAATTCTATTGCATGGCTTACAAAGTGGACTTGGCAGACAGATCAGTATTTTGCGGACGTGGACACCCGTATGAATTCAAGACAGCGCCGCTGAAAGAAAAAGGAGACCGACGAGCACGATACGCAGCACATCGCACAGACTGGTGGAACAGGGCCGACACAGTGCTGAGCACACTGGCCAAATTACAAGAACGCGGACGAGGCCTCCAACAACAAGAAGCACTAGCCAGCGCAGGACGACGCCTCGTACGGGAAGGACTGCCACCAGTTGGGAAGGGAGCCTCACACACCGCCATACTCCACCAGCAGATATGGGCAGAGCGTATGGCAGCGCTTGAAAAGGTACCACTGGACATACTTCAGGGCATGGCAGTACAAGCAGCACACGAGAAGCGGATAGCCATCAAGCAAGACATGCGGGACAGCAGCAAGCAGTACAGTCTATGGTTGGCGCAAGCAGAGAAGACCATCGGTGTTCTGCATCGGATCACTAAGCCGCCACCTCGACATGAGCATGAGATACATACTGTATGCGGCACCGTATGCAGCCCGAAGGATATGGTCGACCAGAAAGCTGTTGAGTTTCAAAAGATATGGGCATGCGAAGAAGTACCACATGCTTCACATGAGGGTTACTTGAAAGAACTCAGGCGAGCTGCGCGAGAAGACGATGATCACGACCCCTGGACCATCGAGGACCTGATCAGGTGCTTGAAAGGCGAACCCGACAAGGGAAAGGGAGTGGACATGATCTGCCCGACGGACCTGAGAAGATTACCCACCGCAGGGAAGCAGACTCTTATCAGCCTCCTCAATCAATGTGAGCGGGATCTTACCTGGCCGTGGCAGTTGTTACTCTCAGTGGTGATGGTTATGCCGAAACCAAACAAAGGAGATAGAGCACTTGCATTGCTACCTCAATTGTTTCGGCGCTGGGAGCTACTGCACAGAAACAGAGTACGGCAATGGGCGCGAGAGCACGAGAGAGAATGGGATGCGGCAATCGCAGGCAACAGCTGCTTGAGGGAAGCGCTCAGGAGACTCATCACGGACGAGTGCGCAGACGCGTTGGATATATGGGAAACGGTATTGCTGGCAGACATCGAAAAGTTCTACGACAGCTTGAGAATCGACAAAGTGGTACCCGCGGCATTGCAGATGAACTTCCCAGCAAAGCCGTTATACCTCATGATGCTCCAGCATTCAGCTACCAGAGTCCTGCGATGTCATGGCGCCTTCTCGGAGCCGATCCTCCCCGACAAATCGATTTTAGCAGGCTCCAGACATGCGAACAACGTGGCCAAGACGGTGGTATACGCAGCCATGGCAAAGCTCACAGGCACCACGTGCTTACCTCGACCTATCCCGCGGGCATGGTTCGACGACATCAGTATACGCATTGTGGGCAGCAGAAGACAGATCATCACGGCCACGGTTGAGAGCACAAAGGCACTTTTCCTGGCACTGGGGGAACAAGGGCTAAAATTGGCAGATAAAAGTACGTTGCTAGCAACAAGCTACAACGACGCTAAGAAGATTCAGAAGCAGCTCAAGACGGCAAACGTGACCATCAAGATCAGCACCGAAGGTCGAGATCTGGGCGCGGACAGAGCTGTACGAGGCACCTCCACCAGACCGACTCACGGAGCACGCTGGAAAGGAGTGAGAAGACGGCTTGGAGCGGTCGGCAGGAAACTACGAAGACTACGAGTACGCAAGCGAGCAGGAATCACACAGCAGGGAGCCATGGCATCAGTAAAGTACGGTACGGCATTCCACGGCATGGCTCCGACAGCTCTCCAACTCGCACGGCGACGATATGCACAAGCGCTCAGAAGACCATGGTCAGGGCGTTGTCTAACTACATACTTAGCAGTTGAAGGTACGGACCCAGCCTACACGATCATGAAGGGACAATTCATCCATTGGTTCAGTTGCTGGAGCCACAGTCCCGACCTCCGCGAGCAAGTAAGACGAGCATGGCCGAGAATATACTTTCGACTACTCCGACTGCCAGAACACAAAAGATGGCGACAGAGGCGTGGACCTGTGGCATCACTCATCCTGACATTGTGGGGGATCGGATGGGACTCACGAGGACCCGACATCTGGCTGGACAGTGAAGGAAACCAATGGAAGTTCCCCCTGCACGGCGAGCAGGGTGACCCAACCGACATCCTGGACGCGCTGATGATGGACGTATCCTTACTTCTATGGCGTAAAGCAGCAGAACACCACAACGGAGGAGGCCTCGAGCATAGTGGTGCAGATATCACAGACCTCAGGAAACATCTTGAATGGCTTCTGCGACGGGGCAATTACCAGGAGTACGGTGCGCTCCTGATCGCGACGTGTGCAGGGACACGGACAAGAGCTAGGAAGAGAGCATGCTTTGGAAAAGGATCGGCACAATGCGAATGCGGACACGAAGAGACGGATTACCACAGAATATGGGGACAATGTGATGCACGGGCATGTGACGAAGCCTTCGACACCACCGACCGACTAAAGACTAGGGCGGAAGCTGGACACGAAGCAGTACCTGCGTTTTGGCTGAGGGGTATAACCCCACGGGCATGGTCAGTACCACCAGATTGCGACACGGAGGAGCAGGCCAACAACATGGGCGAGTGCCTCCAAGAAGGGCGCATCACCACGGAGGACGGCTCCCCGATCGTAGCGTACGGAGATGGATCTGGTGGGAAGAACAGCGCAGATTGGCGATGCAGGCGGTGTGGCTGGGCATGGGTGCGACTACGGCAGCAAGGGGACGGCTACGAACTCGCAGCTGGACAATTTGGACCCCTCCCAGGCCGCCGCCAAACCAACAATCGAGCGGAGCTGTGGGCCCTTCTCAGTTGTTTACGTAGCGCGGCAGGGGCACTACACTTCTGGACGGACAGCGAGGAGGTGTATAAAGGCTGGCACAACAGGAGGTTCGAGACATGCGGCGAAGTCGGCACCAACGGCGACCTGTGGCAGCGGATCGGGCAGGAGCTGGAGATGTGGGGCGGAGTGGAAAGTATTCAGCTACACCACATCAACAACCACCTCTCCTGGGAGGATGCGGAGGCTAAAGGGTTCCCTCGACATGCTTGGTATGGTAACGGCCACGCAGATCGCTTCGCCGACGCAGCCGCAGAGAACCACTACATAGACTCCGCGCAGATGGGTTGCTACGAATGGGTCAACTCGACGGCAGCCCTAGTACGGCGAAGAATTATTGCAGCAACCAAAGACCTCATACAACGACGGCCAGCCGACGGACACGAAGTACGGGCACAGAGAAGTCAACAGCGACAAGAGGCGAACAAACACATACGACGGCGACGAGATTACCTGGCGGACGGACCACCTGCACCAGTTGGGAGAAGGCCACCGACCACGCATCGACTCATACGCCCAAGAAAAGGTAAAGGGTGGAAGTGCACGTGCTGTGAACAGAAGATCGACAAGCACACCCCCTTCCAGACACTCGTGAAGTGGTTTGGGGACGGCTGCCCAGGGCCGCCACCCAAGGAAGGCACGGAGCTAAAACAACATGGAATGACCACACACGCATCGCACCCTCTCATCTTCCTGCGTGCTGAGAAGCGTTGGTTCTGCAAGGAATGCGGCGCCACCTCCACGGAATATATATATCGGGCAAGATGAGGAGCGAGTGCAAAGGAAAGCCGACGTACAACAGCCTCAAATACAAATTACTAAATTGGCTCAAGAAGGCAGCGGAGGAGAAGACTGAGGAGACTGTGGATGAGCGTGATGCAGATACCGAGCATGCCCAATTGGCCCGCTCCTCGGGGTTGGGCACATGTGCGACGCAGAGTACCAGTCCAGCATCGCAGACGCACATACGTCGCCACGCTGCTGGACCTGCCCCAGGTGGCACGCACTGCTCGCCCGCAGCCGAAAGGACGTTGAGGGTTGAGGGTACCGACCACCTGGGGAGTCAGAACGCGGCATCGCAGATGCCCAGTCGTCGCCATGCTGCTGGATCAGCCTCAGGTGGCACGCACTGCTCGCCCGCAGCCCAAGGGCCATCGAGGGTAGAGGGTATCGACCACCTGGGGAGTCAGAACGCAGAGACCACTCACAGCTCACGAGCGGCAACGGAGAGAGCAACCAGAAGAAGGAGAAGCCGTACTCAACTCCCAGACACGAGAGCGCTCCTGCAGCAGGCCATCATGATGCAAATGCGTAGTACCCGCGCCATCGAGGAGGATGAAGGGCCGCTCCTCCGAACAGATGAAGACCCGCGGCCTGCTCACCCTCCTGAGCCAGAGCCTGAAGCTGAAGCAAATCGAGGAGACTCACCCTCGGGCACCCACACATCAGGGGAGACCTCAGGAGAGAGCTCGGGCGCTACGACGACGCGAACCCGTTCGGCCAGCCCAACGGCGAGATCAGGTCCGACCCCGAGGGCCCACGCGCCACTACGCGTGGGCCCGCCACCTCCAGGGGAATCAGCAGCACGACCAGAAGGTGAACCACGGCTCCGCGCGCCTCCGCAAGACGCGCGCGGAGAAAGGGCGGCCTCAGGGCGCGGCCCTGGACAAGGTATGAATGCCCAACTGGCCCGCTCCTCGGGGTTGGGCACATGTTCGACCCAGAGCACCAGTCCTACGGCCAGATGCAGACCACGAGTGGCGGCAGCGAGTGCAACCAGCAGAAGGAGAAGCCGACCACAGCTCCCCGACACGAACACCCTCCTGCAGCAGGCCATCATGATGCAGATACGAAGCTCACGCGCCATCGAGGAGGACGAGGCACCACTCCTCCAGGCTGGCGAGGACCCTCGGCCTGCTCACCCACCGCACCACGCACCTGAAGCTGGAGCAGGTCGAGGAGGCCCACCCTCGGGCACCCCCACGTCGGGGATGGCCCTCGAAGAGGGCACGGGCGCTACGACGACGCGAACCGCTTCGGCCAGCCCGACGGCGAGAGGGGGGCCGACCCCGAGGGCCCACGCGCCCACGCGCGTGGGCCCGCTCCCACCTGAAGAGGCCGCAGCTCGCCAAGTCGGC